ACATATATCATTATATACACAAATATACAATCATATCTACAATACATATTGTAGATATGGATATATAATGATATATAACATATATGTGTATATGTGATATGTATTATATATACATATATAAAATGTGTATATATAAAGATTTTTATATATATGCATAAAACATAATGGCAGATAGTGGAACCTTTAGAAGATGGGACCTAGTAGAAAGAGGTTCGATCATTGGAAGTGTGCCTGTGAAAAGAATATCGAGACCTATTACTTCCTTTCTATTTACTTCTTGGTCAACAGGGTGTGACGCTTCCTTTCACATGTGTTCCATACCCATGATGTTTTGCTTTGTCAGACTGTAACCTCAGAAGATGTGCAGTCAAAATAAGTCACTCCTTTAAGTCAGTGCTTCTCAGCCTTCTTCTTTTAAAAAAAATTATTTATTTACTTTATGTTCTTTGGTATTTTGCTTGCATGTATGTCTTGTGAGAGTTTCAGACGCCCTGCAACCGGAGATACAGACAATTGTGAGCTGCCGCATGCATGCTAGGAATTGAACCCAGGTTCTTTGGAAGAGTAGACAGTGCTCTTAAAAGCTGAGCCATCTCTTTCACCTCATCTTCTCAGCTGTGACCCTCATGTTGTGGTGACCCCAAGCCATAAAATTATTTTCATTGCTACTTCATAACTGTAATTCTGCTACTGTTATGAATCGTTATGTAAATCGCTGATATTCCGGATAGCCGACGGAAAGCTCCTGAGAAAGGGTGGTGGTGGCTCACAGACTGAGAACTGAGGTATTTTGTCACACTCACAGAAAACTGATTAACACAGGATCAAAGAACAGATCCAAGTTTTGAGGCCAAAAAGCTGCCGCTTGCTGACATAATTAAATAAAGTCAGGAGCCCTGCTCTATCTACTGCACGATCAGAAAGCTTGCCCCTCCCTCTGCAACCCAAGGAAGGCTGTGGCAAGACCAAGATTTGGTCTGACTCCCCTCCCCTTTTTTTTCAAGGAGAGAGGAAAAAACTAGAGATAAGCTATATTCCTGACATTTGCTGTGACATCAATTTGATGGAACTCCCATAATGTGCCTGATTCTAGGCACAGTGGTTTTTGTGCAAACTATTGGCTTTCAGTTGAGGAGACAATACCGCAACATGCTTTTTAATGAAAAAAAAAGAACAAATAAAAACCAGCTATCTCTTTTCCTCATTCCTGCAGGTGCCCAACCAGGTTGACTCGCTGGAGTGCATTTTCTGCATTCTTAATAGATAGCTAGAAGGGACCGCCTTCCTCAGCTCCAGCTAGAGGGGTAGAAAGCTTCAGAGGGAGGGTACGCATCTCCAGCTCCTGCTTCCGCAGTTGTTGAGCTACTCCAAAACGGGAGACGTTTGCTGTCTCAGGTAATAGCAGAGAATTAAGGTAAGAGAAGTTGGGAACTTGAGAGTGGGAAGGTGGATGGAAATTCACATGGGAGTGAGTTGGAGGTAGTGACATACTGTTCTAAGTGAGATTGAATCCGGCTTTTGGGGGGGGCAGATTTCACTCTAATTGGTCACTGTGACAACCACCATCACCGACTCTGCACCCCAGCTTAGCGGTACTTGATGCATTTTGCAGGAATGTGGTAAAAACCTGTCTTTAGAGTGTCCACGTGGCAGACTGGAGGCTGGATTTCTGGCTTTGGATTCTTCCGAGATGTTCCACATTATTTTGATAATATTTCAAGGTCTACTTGGAACACTTGGGGTCTTTATTTTGTTCCTGACATCTCCTTAGAGTCAGCTTTATAGTATCTTTTCTACCCGGGTCAGACCATCTCTCTCTCATTGGAAGATGAGGCTCTCGAGTTTTTCATAGGGATGTCGTGCAATTTAGTTCTTTATAGGATTAAACCAAATGACAATGATCAGAATGTGTATCCTTTTGGAATCAATTTACTCATTTTTTAAAGTTGGGGTTCACTGTGTTGCCCAGGTTTGTCTTAAACTCTTAAGCTCAAGTGGTCCTATTGTTCTGATTTTCTCGGCATGCTGGGACCACGTGATCCCATCACATCACAGCACCCAGATTAACTCTCTGGATTTAAATATTCATCAATTGCTGTTTCCAATGGAGTTAAGTATAGCCCAGAGAATTCCTTGTAAGCTGGATCCAGAGAAGTTAGACTTGCTGAGTAGATGCTCCTGTGTGTGCAGAGGAAAGAGGGGCAGTGGTAGAATTTGTGGTTGATTCAAGGTCTCTACTAGCCTACAGTGTGAGCTTTCCAAGTGAGCTGGTATGATGGCTGGCTTTTCTCTGGTCAGTCATTTGCCATGTGCTTTCTTAGTCTATACCCAGTGAAACCAGTGATGCTGTGGTGGCCCTGCTATCCCAAGAATCTGGCTACTTCTTTCTGTGTGGCTTCAGGGGAAATTGGCTAAGAGATTGCAATCTGTGTCAGGCCTGAGATAAGCAGGGTGGCTGATGGCAGGGTAGAGCCTGAAAGGACTGTTCTGCACCTGCAGCACCAGACAGTTGGAGCCTTCAATGAAAGCCCTGGAGGAGAATTCTGGGGGCTTCACTTACATCTCTTTAGGGAAGACATGTGGTTGCCTTAGTGTCCTGGCTCACAGCCCTTTTAGGACTAGAGGTCCGCCCCAGCCCCACATTTAATAGATGGAGACACTGAGGCTAGAAGAGGGAGAGAGACTTTTCCACTCATCAGTTAGAATAGTTAGAAGTAGATAGAGCCTAGAGACCAAGGGACCCGAATTTGAATACCAGCTTCGCCATGATCTAACTTTATTTTGTTCTCTCTAACATCTACTTTGCTTATTTTAAAATGAGGGTGGTAATATCTGCTTTGAAGATCAAAACACTGGAGAAGATGTACAGATAGTTTCCAGTACAAACAGTTGTTATATAGACTGTAGCTTTAAAATGCCACTGTCTCCACATACTCCCTCCTTTATCATCCTCAATCCCTTTTCTTTGTATTGACAACTCCAAGAATGGGAGTATACATTGTAGTTTTATCGAGGAATAATTCACCTGCTGTGGAATAGATTTCCAGTGTACAATATTATGTGTTTTTTATTGTTTTTATTGAGCTATACGTATGATGAGTATTGACAAATGTAGGAACCGCCACATGCATCAGGACAAAGGTGAGACATGGCCAAGCACATGGTGTTTCAGGGCCTATAATCCAATTCTTGGGAGTCTGAAACCAGAGAAGTATACATTTGAGATCAGCCCAGGCTGCATAAAGAGACCTTGCTAGACACCTTTGTGTACTGGAGAAAAAGATATGGGACACTGGCAATAGAGGTGAGGGTTCCTTCTTGCCCCTTCCTCTTCAGCTTCTGTGCCACAAGCATCCACTGTTCTGACATCCAGCACCATAGGTGATCTGTGCTTCTTTCATATAAGTGAAACCATAGATGTGGTATTTTTGATTTGGTCTTTTCACTCAATATAATAAGATTTATCTGTGTTGTGTGTAGTGGTTGCTTGCTCTACTTTTTTGCTAAGTAATAGTTCGTGGTATGAGTCTATCAAAGAAAATGCATTTTTCTGGTAATAGACTTATTTAATGACTTCCCTTTGGGGGATATTGTAAACACAACTGTTAGTGATGCTTATGTAGAAGCATTTGTGTGTGTGTGGCTGGGGTACAATGATCCCAAAGGAGAGCCGTTTAGAAAGATTGGAGGCCAGTTTGGTCTCCAGAGTGAGTTCTAGGACAGGCAAAAACTACAAAGAAACCCTGTCTTGAAAAGAAAACCAAGAGAAAACAAGTTAGAAAGATCCCCTGCTTGTTGCCAGATTCCTTCCTAATGTTCCCAGCATAATTGAACCATAAAAGAACCATCTAAGACTAGCTGAGGAATTCACACTATTTGAATTCTTCTAAGAATAATACGAAGCCTAGAGGGATTTGCTATCCTCTACCTCCAGATTATTCACTGAGGAAAACCTCAGGCCTTCTGCCTCCTAATAGTCTATGTGTTCCTTGGATTGTACTTCCAGGACATGAATGACACTCAGCTACTGTTCATTGAGCTCCAAAACGTGCTCAGACATCAAGAAATTTGTAAGAAAGTCTCCATGACATATAGGCTCTCATAGACTAGACAGAGAGGCAATCTATTAAACCCTAGACATCTATGTTAAATTCACAAGATTGGCTAGTTTAAATATATTTTTAGTCAGAGTACGCAACAAGTCTGGTTGAGGTTAAAGGTAAAGAAGCAGTCCCGGGGACTCTTTTGGGTTCCGAAAATCTGTGTATGAAGACTTTCAGGCTGGTGCTACTGTAATTGCTAGTTTCAAAGATGGACAGGGTTCTGTGCAGGACGGGCTCACGGGAGATTCGGTGTGATTTACTCTATTGCACACACATTGTAAGGCTTGAAAGCAGTGCTGGTGGACAGTGTCTAGCCCACCCTAGATTACTTGGTCAAGCTCTCCAGGCGGCTCTGGTTGAGGTGGTTCTGGACACCCTGGGCTGTCTAGAAGCTGGTTCTCGCTAGACTGTGGTAACTGACCTTGACTCATGCATCTGGGAGGAACATACTTCTGTAGAAAACAAATCACTCTGTGATTTGGCCTCAATGCTGTGCCACATTCTCTCTCCTGGTGCTTGCCTAGTCTGGCTGTTTGATAATCCCCCTTTGTCAGAGAAGGCCACTATTAGTGCTTGGCCAAACTTTGCAGTGCTGTTTCCTGAACCCTCATTATATTGGGCTTGTTGTTTTTCAAGAACCCTGTGGTTCCTTGTAGGGTCCAATGAGGACCTGCACTTGTAGGAGCAAACTGTATATCCTTAAGAATGGGGCAACATAGTCAAAGTACATTATGTATCCATATGAAAATGTCCTTCTGAAACTTACAAGTGTTAATTTACAAAAGAAAGAAAAGAATGCCATTCACCCAAACTTCAGCTGAGCCACTCAGTAAAAATAGGGCCAGTGACATTTTTCATTTGGTTCACAGTTATCTGCTGTGTTATCTTCTGTTCACCATGGAAGAAACCAAGAAGACTCGTGTCCAGATGCCCAAAAGAAGGCAAAAACCCGTGAAGACCCAGTGGAATGCCCAGTGCGTCCTTCTCACCTACTTCCAAGGGGACATCAGCAGCGTGGTGGACGAGCACTTCTCCAGAGCTCTGAGCAAGCTCAAGAGGCCACAGGGATGGAGTTCCTCCAGACATGGTGAAAATGTGGTCCTCAAGAGTGGTGAGTGTTAGGAGGGAGGAGGCTTTCACCAAAAGACCAGCTCTTTGAGGTACTCCATGATCTCGGCTTTCTGTGTGGCTAAGAAACATCATGGAGACCTTTAGGGTAAAATGGACCATGCTTAGTCAAATGAGCTCACATACATCACTGTTTCTATGATTGTACTATTGCTGATTTCCTAGTCTGCACAGTGTGGAGAGCTCTGCCACTGTCCGCTCCACTTCGGCCAGCTTTCAGGGCTATTATTACTACTGTCAGCCTGAGGGCAAGAACACCAAAGGATCCACGATAAGATAAAGGGCAACCCAGAGTCCTGCCAGCCAATAGTGGATGATCTAGCAAGCAAGGGAGGCCCCAGGCAGAGTCTTGCCACATCTCTCCCACCTGTCAGGGGTGTCTATTGCTCAAGAGAGCCATGTCACAGTGTGTAATTAAATGGTTTGTTTGGGGGAAGCCATGGATCAGGGGTCGTGCGATGCCTTTCATAGACCTTAGGCACTTTTGCCTTCATGGGTCCCTTTAAATTGCAATTTATAATTGCATTGGGACAAAAATAATCTGGACCCGGATGATGCATTTTTTTTCTGTATGTGGAATATCAGTTTCATGATCTTTTGGTTTTAAAGTAATGATCCTGGACTCCTGCAAGGGACTCTAGACTTTGTGGCTCCTCTGCCTGATGGGGTTAGGCCATGTGGCCCCTCTTATCTTCTCAACATGTTCATGGGGGCTGAGGCCTTGCTGCTGTTAGGAGCTCACTGTTTCTCTGACCAGGCCTGCGTGCTGCGGATGCCTTGTTTCATAGGCAGACGGATGGCCTCTAAGCGGGGCAGTTTATGCAAAGCAGACACGTGAAACCCCTGACCGTAAGCAAGGCCATCTATTTGCAGACTCTGTCACCCTGCCTTTTTCCTTCTGGAGTACACAAGGCGTCAGCGTGTATCTGATGTGCTGACCTTTGCAGAATCTGCATCTTTCCTAGAAGTTAATTTTCTAGGTAAGCGATTTGATTTTCTCAGAGAATCTTGTGGGTCAGAACGATGTGGCAGAGATACGGTAGAGGGTACTCAATCTGGTGAGTGCTGTTTTCCAACTACTTCTCACGATGCCCGATTCATGGAAGCCACTCAGTAAACACCGCTTGGGTGACTGGAACTGTGATTTGGAGCAGAACATAATGACACAGAATGGGCATGCTATGAAGAAAAGGGATTTGGGCTGGGGGTGGGGCTCAGTTGGTAGAGTACTTTTTCAGCATGCCTGGAGCCCTGGGTTTGAGCTTCAGCACCACAAAAAAAAAAACACGTGGTATCACATTCTTACAATCTTAGCATGTGGAAGATGGAGACAGGAAGACCAGGAGTTCAAAGTCATACTCTGCTATACAGGGAGTTCAAGGCCAGCCCAGGTACTTGAGCCCTTGTCTCAAAAAAGGAAAAGAAAAATACTTGTTTTGGCATAGAGTTCTGACCCAAGGTCAAGGGCCCATTTCCTCTATTGGTGACACAAGGCAGTGTTATGCAATGTGTCACACAGCAAGGGCCTAGGACAATATGTATATTACTGGCTTCTCTCCTTCTTGTCACAAAGCCACCCGTAGTTTAATCAGTCATACAGTACTGATTCTGATGACATGATTGAATGATTGAATCCCTAATCATCTCCCTGTAATCACAGGGACTCCCCCTGTAATCACAACAGACTAACTACACTTGGTACCTCTTAATACCTTACAAGACAGGTTAAGATCCAATGGGAGTTTCAGAGAAAACAAATCACATTGAATCCACAGACAAGGTCACCGCAGAGAAGGGCTACTATGTGACACAGAGTCTTAGATCCAGTCAGCCTGGTGCCAGGCAGCTCTACTACTTCCTGTGAGTGTGATCACAGGGCATGTCACTTTATCTGCCTGTACCTGCTTCAGTGATGCTAAAATGGACCATTATCAAAGTACAAAAAAATGTTTTCAAGATGTCAGTGAGGTAATGGATACCAAGTGACAAGCAGCAAGCGCTGTGTTTGTGGGGGTTGTTTTGAATGATTATTATGGCTACAATGGCCTACATTCAAAGCATTAGGATCAGAGAGCATCAAGACCCTCCTATGAGCTTTTACATTGTACGGTGCTTTGCTGGGTGACTGTTCTAGTGTTTTCTGGGACTCATGACCTCACCATATATGAAGCTGCTGCCTACCAGTAGACCTTGGGCATGGCCTTATTTCTTAGTAAACCAGCTTCCTTGGGCCGAAAAGAGACGAGGATTGTCTTCTTGACTTAGCTTCATGGATATTGCATTTTCCTCTTGACAGTTTCACAGACCCCTTACATTTGGTTCGGGACTAGGCAAATATTTTATTAGCTGACTGAACAACTGAAGAGAAGACTGTCTCCCTCCAGCTCTCTCTTATCATAGCTGGAGTCGGGTTTCTCCTATGCTTGGTTTCCTCAAGGAAGGGCCCCATGAAAGGAGTCTGGGCTGGTGGAGGTTCTCATTGCTGGTGTTATATGGCACACAGGCAGCCTCAGACATGGTGAGAACTGATGAAGTGGCCTATCATTACTGACTGCTGCTTAGCATTCCCTTAACCCCTTCGGGCCAACCCCAGGCACCAGGCAGCCAGGCAGAGAACAGGCCCCCGTTCACAGGCACCCATAGAAGATTTGCCCACATTCTAAAGGCACTCTGTCAAGCCGGATATGCAAGGCCCAAACACAGAGACCTATATGGAAATACCACCAAGTCTCCTGGCTTCTCCCACTAAGTTCGAGTTATTTATTTCTTTTAATTATATGTGTATAATATACAATGGGTGTGCTTTGGGAAAGAAAATAGCTGAAGAGACCTTAGAGGTATCTCCTCTTTTAGAGGATGGTGGGGACTTCACAGTCAGTATCTGGGAAAGCTTCAATAGTTGTTATTTCGTGAGACAGGGTATGGTCCTGGTGCTCAGGGGTCTTGTCTTAATAACGTGTTTTTCCTGTCCCCTTCCTCCTAGTCCTAGTCCCAAGTGCATTCTTAGACCTGGGAACATGCTCAAAGGCTACTAAGAGAAGGTTAGGGGTGCTGTCTTGAACCTGCGCAGGTCCTCTGGAGTCATCCTCAAAGGCTTCCTATCTGCCGCCATTAGTGGAATGGGAAGGAAACACCATGCTTCTCATCCATGGAGAATAGTTATGTGTGATATAGTCCTGCTACCTGCTTGTGGCCCCTTGAGTGCTGTCAGCATGGTACCTTCCTTTCCAGTAAGAAAAAGGACCCATGTGTCCCTAGCCTCTGTGAGGAGCCAGATACCACAAGAAATAACTGCATTTACTCCACCCCTCAAAATCGACCACAGCTTAGACAATGTAAAGATGAGCAAAGCTAGCTGAGTGCAGTGCACATACCTGTAATCCCAGCACTTGGGAGACTAAAGTAGGGTGATTGCGCATTTGAGGCCAGTGTAGGATATGTGGGGGGAGTTCGCTTAAAATAATAATACTAATAAAATACTAGCAAATCAAATCTATGGTGCTTACCTTTAGGGGTGGTGGCAGTAAACTGGGAGGGCACACATATACATATATATACATACACACACACACACACACATATATATATATATACACACATATACATATATATGTGAATATGTGTGTATGTGAATATGTATATATGTGTATGATGTGGGATTCTCCTCTGTATGCTATGAATATATTTTATTACAATTGGTTAATAAAGAAGCTGCTTTGGCCTATACCAGGGCAGAATATAACCAGTCTGGAAGAGATATATATAGAGAGAATAGGTAGAGTCAGACAGACACCATGTAGCTGCCGAAGGAGAAAGATACCCAGGATCCTTACCAGTAAGCCACAGCCTCATGCTGATATATAGATGAATAGATTGGTTAATTCAAGGTGCAAGAGCTAGCTTGAAATACACCTGAGTCATTGGCCAAACAATATTGTAATTAATATAACTTCTGTGTGATTATTTGGGTGTGAGAAGTCGGGAAATGAATGAGTGGCCTCTGTTTACATTGTGTATGTGTTTATGTATATATGCATATATATATATATCATGACTATCATATGAAAGCTTTTTGTTGGAATCTGTTATATGACTTATCTTACTGCATCTTCACACCAACCCTATTGATTACTTGCCCCTATTTCTGGTGAGGAAACTGAGTTGTATAGCCCAGTCACCCCTCCAGAATCTTACCACAAAGGCAGGACTCCCTGTGTAGTGCTGTTGGCCACTCAGCCTGAAGATACAAACCTACATTCTGCATCCAAACTCTCAGAGAAAGGAACCTGTGTATCTAGCAAAGAGAGACTATGAAAGAGGATAGGACTGAGAAGGACTCCTTGGTGTCCCAGAATAGGACTGTATCTCTAAGATGATTCTTCAGTTGTCATGTGATTTTGTCATTAGTTAGTTCAAAGAGCATGTATCTTGCCCTTGAGTGAATAAAATATGGAGGGACTGTGTCACCAGCCACATGGACAAAGAGCACAGTCAACATGTACAGACTGTGCAGGCCAAAATTGGACTTTTCTGCTCCAAGGTGTGTGTGCTTGTGCTTGTTCGTGTGTGTGTGTGTGTATGTTTCAAACAGAGTGCCACATGGGGTTATAATGCACTAGTATTAAAGGCAGAGGAAGAGGAAAAAAGAAAGAGGAGGAAAAGGAAGGGGAGGGGAGGGAGATGGAGAGCAGATGAGAGCAGCAGGAGGAAGACCATCATCCAGTTATATATTTATCTTCACAGCTGTGGCTCATAGTTTGGTTATTTACAAGTCAAGTCATTTTTTTTGTTTAAATATCGCTTAGCTGGATGCAGTGAGGCTTGCCTGTAGTCCTAGATACTCAGGAAACTGAGGCAGGAGGATTGTTGGAGACCAATTCAGGGTCAGTCTTGAAAGAATAGTTAAACTGTCTCAAAAAAAAAAGATTTTTGTGTGTGTGTGTGTGTAGCTTTGGAGCCTGTACTCAAACTCACTCTGTAGAC